TGTGTGTGTGTGTGTGTGTGTGTGTGAGAGAGAGAGAGAGAGAGAGAGAGAGATCTTAAGAGGAGAAGTGGAGCTTAAGCTGTGAGGGCAACTTCCCTGGAAGTAACTGGCCACAATTACAGCCAGGCCTGGATGTATCTGGCCTCAATTATGTCTAGAGGTCAGAGGGAAGAAGTCCTACATAGTGTGCGTACACATCGAATGTTGGAGTCACACAGAATGATAAGTCGGGAGATGAAATGACTTTCATGCTGTGTACCATTTCATCCGAAAGAGCATCACCTGCTGGAATCCGGGTCCAGCGTCCCAGAAATTACGTTGAAGTCTGCTTCTTTGAGAAAACCAGGTCCATTACCTGGCTCCAGCATTTGGAGAAAAAAGATCCGGGTTCTGCACTGGATTACATGTTAGAGAGAGGTTTACTATATATCAGTACTACCAGGAGGAAGAGGAGGATGAGAGGCATAGGTAGGGGAAACCGGGATTTCAACCCGCGACTTCTGGCGTGACAGAGCACTCTAATGGAACACTGCACCCAAGATTGTTGCAGAGTATGAGGCTATGAGCGTGACCTCCAGGCAGAAGAGAAGAAGATGATGACAACTGCAGATCTTGTCTATACTTGTACGAGGATAGACGCTGCGGTTTCGAAACTTGATAGACGCTGTGTAAATATAGGAAGGTAGTGACCGTTCTCAGCTTACGGAGTTATGACACAGGGGGCTGACCTTAGGGAGTGTATAGATCGGGGAGGATTTGAACCCTGATACCTGGGGGAAGCACGAGGAAAGTTTAGATTGTTTTTATTTTTGCTGTGCTCGTGTTCGCTGCGGGTAGACTTCAACCTGCGACCTAGAAGAAGAGGTTGTCTACCGTCTTCACCCGAATAGAATGCCCGGTCATTACAGCGGTATTCACCGCAACTTTCATTCCAGATGCAGCGATCATGACCGGGCGTTCTATTCGGGGGAAGACGGCACGGGGCTCATTCTTATTAGAACTCTCTGCCGTAGAGCAGCCTTACTAGACCCGGTGGGCCCAGGCGAATATGATTTGGCGAAAGTAGCGAGCTAGTAGCAAGCTTTAACAGGTTTCCTCTCCCCACTTTTCCGGAAAAAGTGGGTAGCCCCTATCATATTTGTCGTCATCTGATTGTGTCAGGAAGGCAAGTCGGGATCTGTTTACGTCTTTATGATGAAACGCAACTGCGTACCATAGCAAGCATCCGCAGAGGCTGGGTAGGCAGCGGTTGAGATAAATTGTAATCTGTAACTGTAGTATAATGTCGCATCCGTCTGCTCATTGCAGTGTCTGGTGTTTTACGGTCCTCTCGACTCCTCTGACATCTTTGGGCGCTTGCATTCCATACCCGAATCGCATATGGGCAAGAAAAAGTTAACCGGTGCTGGAACTTGTTGGCTGCAACTATGATATAAGTGTGTGCCTAATTCTTAAGCAGTCGTATCCATCACATTGTTCATTTTGTTTTTTTTTTTGTGGATTTTGACTCGGAAACCTGTCGAATGTGCGAAGTAATTTTTTTAACTTTTTTTGTTACTACTGACGACTGTCAAATACGTTTTGACTCGAGTTTTGTTTTCCTTATTTTTCTGAACTATTTTTCAACCTTTTTGACAGTGGTGACTGGTTCTTTTGTTTTTTTTTGTTTTTTTTTTTGGTTGGCTATTTGTGCTTCCGAGTAAGTGCCTGATCTAACAGGCATGGGAGTAAAATGCATCGAGAGGGCTGTTGATGTTTCTGAATCTGCTGTCGTAGACTCACAGGGTGAACTTTTTTCATGTGTGTTTTTACTTTAGGTGGGGGCCAGGGCCGGGGGGAAGGAGGGGAGAGGAGTGGGGTGGCGGCAGGTGCAATGTGGCCATTTCTGAACTGGCCTGTAGATTCCTCATCGATCTGGTTTTCCATGTGGCTGTGGCTAATGTTCCAGGTGTTGTGATTTCACCAAATCTGGGTTCGGGCGACGGACGATAATGCTCTGTGATCAGGTAGATGCCTCTCTAGCCATGGCCATCATGTTGCCTATTCAAAACTTCCTCCCTAAGATAACTTCTTGAACAGTTTTTGCAGCTGGCTGTATTTGTCACTGCTTGATGTGGAGCACGCTGTGTTTGTGACCCGTCATTCGGTTCCAGGCTTGCTGAGCCACATAGTTGATTTCGTTGCCTGCAGCATGAGAATAGCAGGTTGCATCAGTGTAGGTGTCATTGTCTGACTTTGGGCAATGGAGTCAGTGGACAGGGTGCTGGTGATGGCTGGAGGCTGGGGGGCTGCGCGCGCACACTGGAGAGAGAGAGAGAGAGAGAGAGAG